GTGTAGATAAGGACAGACTACAAGTTGCTTTCAACAGGTACGTGGTGAATTACATGTGTTGGCGACGATATGGAAATTCTGAGGAAGTTTTCACTGTTTTCTACCCAAGATTGTATATGAACTTTGCTTTGAAAACTCCTGAGCTCAGCTGAGGAAAGCGAACATATATTCCTACTCCAACGCGCTCTTTGTTAATTGAAGTTTCATCCTAGTGATATGAAAAACAAATTTCAGTTGGCGAAAAACGCATGTAAGGAGTGAATAAAATGGGGTGAACTGTCCTGGACAACTCGCAAGGTGTTTTAAATTCTTTTCATATCGCGAATAACACCTACTTCACATAGAGTATTACGTCACTTTACGGGTGAGACTCCCATTGTCAATGATGATGGTCTACGATCAGGCTTGGGGGACCTGATGACTTTTCCCCCGAAGTAAGAGCTCGCTATGGTCATCTGAGCCTATGTGAACTACATCACTTACCAGGAATTCATGGCTGTAACAATCTGCCCTTGACAGGAGGTCAATGTAGCTGTTCATATTAGGTTTGGGAAATCTAATGTATTTCTCTGCCACCTCCTTCGCAAAACTAAACGTGCCCTTTTACCTGAAGTTGTATCTGGCTACGACTATCATTGCCTTTGTGAAGGGCGAGCGAAATTTGGTGAAAGCGGCCAGAAGACTTATTGTCAACGCGTGCTTATCTTCATTCGTGATGACAGGGTAAGTTGGTTCTCTGCGACAGTGGCGACGACGACGCAAGTTGTTATCAATCTGTAATTTTGTATAGGAATTGGCGTGGAGTTTCACCCTAGTGAGATGAAAAACATATTCCACGACTATTGCATATTACCGCGAATATCGTGTTTTCACCGAGTTTTACGCCACTTCATGTGAAACGGGTTGAAACTCTATTGTAGTTTTTAAATTTGCTACGGAATTTGTTTTCGAAAAAAAATTTTTTGCACTTTGCGGACCTTCCCCGTGTGAATTTTCCCCACATAACAATGGCAACACTCTTATAGCTTCAGTGGTCTGTATACTATTTTGATTTCAGGCAAGTCGCCATAGTTCATTTTCTCGTCTGTGCGGGTTCGAACTTGTTATCCTCGAAAGCCTTGAAGTCCAGTTTGACCCCGTTCGTGATGGGCATGCTGGGCGCCCTCCCCGTGGGGTTGGAGAAACAACAACGGAGTAGGTAGGCTTGCGTGACGCCATGGGAAGTCGCTGTCAGCGCGAGCTGGCACTGTTCACGCTCTCCCATGCACTTCATATACTCCTACAGCGCACTACTGTCGG